CAGAAGAGCAGGGGCAGTGAGAGGATTCACCAGAGACAGAGTGGGGGGGGGCAGAACAGGCTGACTGATGAAGTACACTGCTGAGGGGAGCAGCAGGCTGGTCTGGAGAGGTCTGCTGTGCCATGTGGGTCACCTCTGGGGCAGAGATCAAACTCATGCTGATGTGGCTTTAGCTTCTTAGTGCTGTGCTTCAACCTGCTGTGCTACCAGGGAGGGCCCCCTTTCTGCTTTTTAAGCAGCATGCTTTTTGTTTTGGATGTGCAACATTTTAAAATTCATTATAGAAAGTTTCTTGAACTTTCAGTGGTTCTTGGACATTGTTTCTAAGGTTTTGTGGGTGGAGGGGGAGGTGGGAGTGGGGTGGGATGGCGGTCTGTATTAAATGTCTATTTTAAGTGAGAGGTATTAGACATCTAGTTGGAAGCTGTGTGTACTTTGGTGGGCAATTCTGTAACATGGTTGATTTCAAACTGGCAAACTTCCTTGGTGGAAAACTTACTATGTTTTAGCTTCTGTTTACTGTATTATCTGGTTTCTCTCTCAGTTATTTCACAGATGAGTTTTCTAATTACTTGCTTTGGGAAAGTGGGCTGAGAATCCCATTTTACCTTGTATCCTTTATTTACTACTTGCTTCCCATTTATTGTCCAGATATTTGTAAATTTATAGCTACCAGGAATCAGTCACTGCAAAGTAAACTAGGTATCAGTTACAAAGAATAAATATCTAATCTCCTGCTTAGGTCAATTAATAGTTCTTTGCATATAGGTTGCTTTGCATATAGGTTTTCCCTATTACTGTTTTATATGATGGTTTTTATCAGAACTTCTTTATGTAAGTTGGATAAGTATTTGGATTTTGAGGAGAGTCTCAGAATTTTATAAATAATTGTTTGGCAATACACATTTCTTCCTTTTTTGATTAGATCTATAAGATCTAAATTCTAGGAATCATTGTTGCTTAGACCTTTGAATAAATTAGATTGAGAATAAATATAAGAATCTGTAGGATTTCATTAAATTTCTTTGTAGGATGGATTTGTGGTGATAGCCTGATTTCTAAAAGATTTGTTGGTGTCAGGATAAATTTATTAGGATATGTCTTTTAGAAGCTTGTTAATATCTTGTTATTTGAATGATATTTTGGGTAGCCTTAGTTGAAATTCATTATTAGTGAATTTTTTAGCTGTAGTGTGACTTAAGACTTCTATTTGTTTACACTTAAAAATAACTTTGTAAATGAATTTCATAAGTTGATGACTGTTGTTTTAAATCGTAGCTACTGTTTACCAAAAAGCTTTTAATATCTTCATGCTATAGTAATTTGTCTTTCAAACCTATTCTAGGTAGAAGAATACATGTTCACTTTTAGTGAGCAAGAGCATGTTCCCAAACTCAATTTTGGGTCGCCCGCCTTTCACACCAAATCATCAACAACATAGTAACTTCTTCACCCTGTCACCAACTCTTTATACACACCAGCAGCTTATAGATGCACAGTTCAACTTTCAGAATGCAGAGTGAGTATGGTGATACTTTGGACTGT